TAGCTAACAGACGGATGGAGAAAGAACAGCAATGCTAACGGTTGAAACACGGGACAAAAAGCAATGAAAACACAAAATCATGAACTAAACGTGAGATTGAGAAATACGTTTAGTTAAAAGCAATAGACAAAAGTTGAAAATTAACAAAAAAGTAATACACAAACAAAACAATGGGCTTGGTGAAACATTAGCATTGTTAGCTAAAAGAAATGGACAAAAGAGCGGGAAATTACCTTGATTAAAGTCATTAAAAAACATGAAACTGTTTTACCTTGTTAGTGAGAAATGTTGGCGTTGTTAGCTAAAATAAAGTTTTAAAATAGTGACAATAATGAATTAACAAAAGTGACAATTAAAATTAAAAATGATCAAATAGCTCAATAAAATAAAAAGCTGCAGAAGTTTTACAAATTTTTACATAAGAAGGTTGAAACAGTCATATCATTGAAATATATTTTTTTAAAAACAGCTAAACTTCCAAACAACTTATGGAGCTGACAAAACTTTAGCATAGTTAGCTAAAAAGAATGGACAAAAGAGCGGGAAATTATTTTACTGCTGTGATAAAATGTTGGAATTGTTAGCTGAAATGAAGTAAAGAGTTAAACATTTAAAGTAATAAATTAACATTATCAAGTGTTAAAATATTTTAAGATATATTACTGAGACATTGAAACAATTAACAAGTTTGAAAGAATATTAGCATAGTTAGCTAAAAAGAGCGGGAAAATGCTAAAAGTGGTTAAAAAAACCTGAAAGAGTTTAACTGTAAGCTATGATAAACTGATGAGATAGTTATGTTTTAGCAAACAAACAGTCAAATTAAAGACTTAACGGAGCAACAATTAACAGTAATTTAAATGTCTACTTCAGTCTAAATTGTTAAAGTCTTTACTGAGCCATGGTCTCCACGCTGGTTTAACTGATTCACACGTTATTCTTAGAGACCAGCAGCGATCATCATCACTGATACCTCCGACGGACATCGTAACTCTTCTACAATAAACAAACGTCGGAGGTCGTCCCAAACGCGATAAAATTCACCTTTTCATTCTAACGCTTCAACCCCCCACACTTCCTGTCGCCCCGTCTACGAACAGAAAACCTGAGAGGTAAAACACTAACGACTTTATTACACAAACAACTCCGGTTCATCTCCGGTCCACAGATAAACTGGAAGTAAAAATGAGAAACACTGAGAAGAGCGGAACAAAGTTTTATTTCAGGCAAGTAGCAAAAAATAAACCAGGAAGTTGTCAAACAGGTGCAACCAGAATAAATCATCCCAAAATACTTTTCTCTTCGTAGTTAATGTGACGTCACCAGTAGCTACGTAATTATCTGCACGTGGACTTTGTCACGTGTTCGTCTCTGACCGGCCCGCCCATCTGCAAAAGAAGAAACAGCCGAATAATTAATCATTAAAAACTACAGAACTGTGCTGTGGAGAGGAAGTGCTCAAAGCGTTGCTGAAATGTTCTTTACTGAGTTAGAAACAAGTAACAGCTGTTAGCTAAACTACCAGAAGGACATGGAGAGAGAGCACGGTTTTACTGTAGGCTGAAAAAAGTTCAAATGAAATGATTAGCTGAAAAAGCTGAAATTAGCAGAAATAAGCTGAAATGAGCACAGAACAGCTGAAAGTAGCTGAAGAAAAGTTTAAATTAGCAGAAGGAAGCTGAAAGAAGCTGAAGCAGAACAAAATGTGAAAGAGCAGTAACAGGTTGTGAACAGAGCTAAAGATCTGAAGGAGGTAAAATGAGCTCAATTCATTTTCTGTGAGGAAAAAGTGGTAGAAAAGGCTAAATGTTTCAAACAGCTAAAGTTGCACCAAAACCAAAAGTCATAGCCGGATTGTTCTGAAAGAGCCGAAGGTTTTGATTCATGATTTGTTGAAATAGAACAAAAATTGTGGAAAGATGCTGAAAAACGTATGGAATAAATGATGTAGTCGCAAAAATAATAAATATAAACAGGATCACAATAGTGTGAATGTTTAATTAGCAGACTGGAAATTAATTTAGTGGGAGCTATTAGCTGTTTCCAAAGTTAGCAAAAGATTTATACAAAAAATTCAGCTAGCTGTGGAACTGTGTCCCCCACTGCTGAAAGGAATTAAAATAACTTTTTCTATGGTGAAAATATTTGTAAATAAATAAATAAATAAAAAAATGTATAAATGTTACAAAAACACAGATTTGTACAAGAAGTCGTTGGACAGCAAATAAGGTACAAAGACAAACTACTAAAACATGACATCAGTGAGGAACAGTGCATGTTTTAATACACCAGCCAGTAACTGGACTGACTGGTTTGTGGAAGTAAAAGGCTGTTTTCTGTTTCAGCCGCCGCCGTCTGATACTTTGGATTATAACGTGTAAATAAAACGTTTGTCAACAAACAACCACGGAGTCATTCAGGGACTCACTGGAGAAACATGATGCTAAAGTTGAATGAATACAACTTTTAAAGCTTTTGTTGAGTTTCAGTAGATCACCTCTCTGGTCGGTCCTCCTGTCTTTGTAAATGAGTCCCAGGATGACGGTGGACAGCAGGTAAGGAGCTGCAACCATCAGGTGGTGCACCAGTGTCCACACAGAGAGGACAGCAGCCGAAGGACTCGACGGTACGTCTGCTGGAGCTGAAAAAGATCCGGTCAATAACTGGGAAGTTCAGACGATCTGGGCAGTTAAACTGTTTGTTGGTTAAAATCCTGGGAATGAAAATCAAAGAGGCCAGTGAAAGTTCAACGTCCAGCTGCCTGAAGAGCAGCTCCTCATCTTCACCACACAGAACATCAAGAACATGTTCCCTGACCAACATGTTGCACCGTGTTGTCCATCACTTCCTGCAAGGCACCTTCAAAACAAGAGTCTTTCAAATAATTTAGAATCCATCCATCCATCCATCCATCCATCCATCCATCCATCTATCCATCATCCATCCCAAAAAAAGAAAGAAATTTAAATTTGTATGCACCTATGACTGTCTATTGTTGTTGTTACTTATTATTGTCATCACTCTTTGTTAAAGAAATCAGGTCTCTCTTGTATATGAGTCATCGAGGCTCAATGGGATTCACCTGTCTAAATTGTGCCGCTCCAGGTGTCTGCATGTTGGAGCAGCTCTGTTACTTTCATTCTGAGATTTTGCTTTTGGAAACTTTAATTCCTGTTTTTCTGGATGTAAATCACATTTTCTGGATGATTGTTTCCTCTGGTATCAGATGCTGTGCAGCTGGAAGGATTTTTACTGAAACTTTTTTTAGTTTTGGACATTTGTTATGATGCGTAACCATGGCAACAAGGCAGTTTTCTACAACCAACAGCAGCTGATTAACATCTCAAAAGCTCAAATAATATCTCAACTACAGCCAAAAATCTCAAATGAGTTGAAAAGGATGTTCTGTGGATGCATTCTCGTCTACCTGCCCGTTGTGCTCGAGTGCCTGACCACTGAGATCCTGGAACTAGCAGGAAA